TTTTTTTTTTTTTTTGAGTTGGAGTCTCACTCTGTCGCCCAGACTGGAGTGCAGTGGCCGCTCCCGGCCACCGCAGCCTTGACCTGCTGGGCTCCGGCGATCCTTCCGCTTCTGCCTTCCAAGCAGCCAGAATTACAGGTATGCGCTACCACGCCCGGCTGATTTTTTAATTTATTGTAGAGATGAGGTCTCGCTGCCCAGGTGGGTTTCGAACCCGCGGGCTCAGGCAATCCACTCACCTCAGCCTCCCGAAGGCGCGGGATTACAGGCTGAGCCACCGAGCCCAGTTTATCTTCTCTTTTTTATCTTTGGTTCCCTGCCCTAAGCCCCCTCCTCCTGTGCTATGCCGAATCACAGCTCCATGCTTTCACATAAGTTGTTCCTTCCCTCAGAAATATCCCTTGCTCCCCTTTTCTCTCCTATTGCTCCTGGGAAAAATGTCACCATCCTTCCAGAACATTCTCAAAATAACCTTCCTCCTAGCTTCTTTATTATATTCTCACAACATTTACCTCATTTTATTATAAGCACTTGCCTGACTGTTTTGCTCATTAGACTGAGTTCCTATGGGGTATTCTGTCTTGTTCACCATCTTACACTCAGCATCTAGCTCAGTGCCCAGCAGAGCTAATATTATATATGTGCAATGACAAGGAGAAAAAAAGGTGCTTGTGTGGAGAGGAGGGGTGAAGGGAGTGGCTGCTTCTGGGCTGGATGCTGTGGAGGGACACTGGGTTGGTGTCCTGGTTGTTAACTGTAAGTGCATGACTTTGGCCCTGTTATACTTTGTGTATATGTTGTCATTGGTAAAAAGGGGCTAACTATGCCTGCCATCCACATTTCAGCAGGGTTTCTGTTGTGAAGATTCTGTGAGGAAAATATGTGGGAAAGCACTTTGAAAAGTGTGAGGCAGACTTCAAACCCAAGACATTATTATGAAATTTATGTTGCAGGCATAAAAGCCTCGCAGTTAACCTAGGGGACTAGGAAAGGTTCTGGCTTCATGAGCAATGCCTAGAAAAGAAGGATCCAAAAGAAATATTTGTTACTTTAATTTCCTGGAGCCTTGTAGCACAGACTCAGTGCTAGCTTACCACTATGTAAAATCATTGACATGAAACCTTTAACATTGATAGAACTGGGGTTGCCAGCTTCAGAATGCATGAGTAAAAAAATAGTCATTTCTGGTCTTAGTTAAAGGACTAAGAACTCCTACCTGGAGAAAAAGAAAGGACAGCTTGGAGGACAGCACAGTATTTAAAAACAGCATTGGCTTTAGTATTTGAAATCATTTGTTCAGCTAAAGATTCATTTCTTTCAGAAAGCCCCTCCTGAATTCCTCAGGCCTCAGAGGGGCTGTATTTCTCAGTGGCTTATTAAGACCTTGAGTTCTGGATTTATACTTGAGTTTGAATATCTGGTAGCAACTTACTTGGGTAAGTTATTTCCCCAAGACTGTTCCCTCAACCATGAGGATAACAATCACTATTCGAGTCTGTTTTCATTGCTTATAACAGAATACCTGAAACTGGGTAATTTATAAAGGAAAGGAATTTATTCTTACAGTTATGAAGGCTGAGAAGTTCAAGGTTGAGGGGCTGCCTCTGGTGAGAGCCTTACTGCTGGTGGGGACTCTCTGAGAGAGTTAAACCTGCTAGCTCAGGTCTACTGTTCTTTTAAAGGCACCAGTCTCATTCCCATGATAACTCATTCATCCACTAACTCATTAATCCATGAATGGATTAGTCCATTGAGGAGGACAGAGCCCTCATGATCCAATCATCTCCTAAAGACCCCACCTCTCAATACTGCCCAACATTGGGGATTAAGTTTCAACATGAGATTTGGAGGGACAAACACTCAAACCGTAGCAATCACCGACTGGGGTGAGCCAGGAGGCTCAAAGGGACTGATGGATGCGAAGTGGTCTGCATAGTGCCCTGTGAGCACGTGGCAAATACCCAAAAGACGGAAGCGACCACCATTACACTGCTGTGCCTCCTTGGAGTCCGGATCACTCTTGCTTTCCATCATATGCTGTCATAACCATTGTGACTATTTCCTGGGTGCATCTGTTTTCCCAGTAATCTTTATAGCTGCCGGGCTCAGTGGCTCAGCCTGTAATCCCACGCTTTGGGAGCCCGCAGGTTCGAGACCCGCCTGGGCAACTTGGCAGGACCTCATCTCTACAATAAATTTTAAAAAAATTAGCCAGGCGTGGTAGCATGCGCCTGTAGTTCCAGCTACTTGGAAGGCTGAGGCGGAAGGATTGCCGGAGCCCAGCAGGTTGAGGCTGCGGTGGCCGAGAGCGGCCACTGCACTCCAGTCTGGGTGAGAGTGAGACTCAAAAAAAAAGAATCTTTATAGCTGGCAAAGGCAAGGATACTTTCTAACATGTTTATTTCCACTTCTGTGGAGCTTAGAATGGGGCAGGGTAAGGCAGAGGACAAAAGTGGAGCACAAAATAATTGTTGATTTACATTAACCAGCAAGGGGCTTAGTTAGAAGTTGAGTAAGGGGACAGTTGGTAAAGGGGAGGAGGGGTGAGTTGCTAATTGTCCAGGATTCGGCCTAATGGGTTTGTTTCCCAGAAGCTGAGTAATGTAAGTTCCATCATTTTCTTACTCCATTTGAAGTAGCATCCATGTATCTCTCTCTTTTTTTTTTTTTTTTGAGTTGGAGCCTCACCCTGTCACCCAGGCTGGAGTGCAGTGGCACACTTATGGCCACCCCAGCGCTGACCTGTTGGGCTCCAGTGATCCTTCCGCCTCAACCTTCCAAGTAGCCGGAACTACAGGTAGGTCCTACCACGCCTGGCTAATATTTTGAGTTATTGTAGAGATGAGATCTTGCCAAATTGCCCAGGCTGTTCTCAAACCCGTGGGCTTAGGCAATCCCCTCACCTTGGTCACCCAAAGGGCTACGATTACAGGCTTGAGCCACTGCGTCCGGGCAGTGTGAGGTGTGACTGGATGACATAAACTGAGAGAGAGAAATGCCAATTGAGAGACAAACATTGCTGGTTTTAAAATCCAATTGTACCAGTACCAACACTTTTTTCAAAGATGCCTAAAAGCTATCATAGCAACTAATTTGCCAAATAACCTTTGAGTAAAACACTCTTCTTAGAGAGCTCTCTAGAGTAGGTTTCAATGACAGGCCCTCTTGACACATATTTAGTAGAAAGAGACATATTGTTGAATTTTTCTGCAGTCTAAATTCAGTCTCCAGAAATGCTTCAACGTCTTACCCTTGATATGGACTGAAATTGGATGTTGCCTAAAAAGGTATAGTTTTATTTACTTTCTCTTGAGAATTTTTTTTTTTTTTTTTGAGTTGGAGTCTCACTCGGTCGCTCAGACTGGAGTGCAGTGGCCGCTCCTGGCCACCGCAGCCTCGCCTGCTGGGCTCCGGTGATCCTTCCACCTCAGCCTTCCAAGTAGCCGGAATTATAGGCATGTGCTACCACGCCTGGCTGATTTTTAAATTTTTATTGTAGAGATGAGGTCTCGCTGCCCAGGCGGGTCTCGAACCCGCGGGCTCAGGCAATCCACTCATCTCAGCCTCCCAAAGGCACAGGATTACAGGCTGAGCCACTGAGCCCTTTATTGCTGGCAAAGGCAGCTATAAAGGCAGCTTTTGTCCTTTGCCTTATACTGTTCCGTTCTAAGCCTCACAGAAGTGGAAGCAGACATGTTAGAAAGTATAGTTAGAAAGTATAGTTCAGATAGCTTCCTGTTTGGTATAAACATTACAGGGCTCCCAGTGATAATTGTAGTCGATGAGGTTGTCAGTTAATTCACTAAGTTTCTGTTTTTTAGATAGAGATATAAATTGTATCTACTCACTTCTTCAGTGAAACATGGAGAGCTAAAGTTAAACAGAGCATGCTTGAAGTGGCACAATTCCTCCACTTAAATTTACTCCACTAAAACATGTAAGTGAATCTTGATATTGTTTATTAAAATAACTGACTGGGTGAGGTGACTCATTCCTGTGATTCCAGTACTTTGGGAGGCAGAGGTGGGAGTTCAAGACCAGCCTGGACAATATAGTGACATGTTATAAGAATAAAATATAAATAACTAAAGCTGTAAATGATGCATATGAATTTATGGAAAGAGATATCACCATTGCTATTTACATGTCTTAATTTTAGCTTGAAAGAGCAACAACACAGAAAAAGACATACTGACTGGTCCATTGCTCCATTGGGAATAGCAGGGCGCTGCCATATTACTAAACTTGGGCTTGCTAACTATAAATTGTTTTATCAGGCTATTGTCTCAGAAAGTCACAGCTGAAGCCAGATGTGGTAGCTTACACCTATAATCCCAGCACTTTGGGAAGCTGAAGCAGGAGGACTGCTTGAGCCCAGGAGTTCCAGACCAGCCTGGGCAACATAGGGAAACCTCATCTCTACAAAAATTAAAAAAATTAGCCAGGCATGGTAGCATGAACCTGTACTGTAGTTCCAGCTACTCAGGAGGCTGAGATGGGAGGATCATTTGAGTCCAGGAGGCAGAGGTAGCAGTGCTGGGATTGTGTCATTGCCCTCTAGCCTGGGTGACAGAAAGAGACTCAGACTCAAAACAAAAACAAACAAAAAACTTGTGAAACCTGAAAGGTCAGTGGTTTAGTTATTAATATTGTACCCAATGTCAATTTCTTGGTTTTTATCATTTACTATGCTGACATAAGATACCGTTATTGGAGGACACTGGAAGAAAAGTATACCTGAATTCTTTGTATTACTTTTGTAACTTTTGGGGAGCCTAAAAAGTTTTTTAAGTGAGGAAGAATAAACTATAGCAGAGGACAAAGGAAAACTGTCAATCTAGATATTTTTATTAAGTTCAATTAAAATATTAAGGCATTTGAAAACCCATAAAGTTTATAAAACACACTCACCCTCAGTACTTTTCTTATTCTGTGAGAACTAGTGCTATGTTGAAATGTTACATTAACATTAAACCATCACACAGCAAAAGTATTTCCAGAGTTTAATAAATATGTATCTTAATTAAGAAGAAATATACTCTTTGTACAAAAGATCTTTAGTTATTTTAAAAACTAACTTTCTCCTTAACCTCAAGAAGGGTTGATTTTGCAAATTTAGCCGTGTCATGATAACTATGTTCTTTTAGTGATAGAGGGTAGAAGCAGAGATGCAACATGCTAGGAAAATGGACTTCTTAAAATGTACAGTAGAAAAGAACACTTTAGGTTCAGAGTTGGATAGTACCTGTTTGCCTAATTTGTGGACATAGCTGATCTCGGAGTTTGTTTTCCTTAAAGGTTTCAGTGATGCTGAACAGCTCTATTTGAACAATGAGAACTCAGCCCGTCTACTAGCCAACCATCTCATAGACAATCGTGGCACTTGTTCAGCTCTTTGCAACTGACAGCTAACAAACAGACTGACTCCTAGAATGCCCGGGACTCCCAAAACTACCAAAAGGCTCTGGCTTCCCTAAGCATCTTCAGGAGACATTCATTTTGTCCCTATGTCAGAAGGGCAGAGAGCTAAGTTTTAAAATAATTTGGGCAACTGTCTGAGACGCTTTATATCTAAGAAGGTACCTACTGAGTTTATGCTATTCATCTGCTTTAAAGTTTCAGAAGGTGGCAAACTTTCAGGAAAAATTGCAATGTCCTTTTCATTTTCTTTCTCAGGATGTTGAGTAAATTCTGCCTTCCCAGTTCGAAGGTTTGCCGTAGGACTTGATTTAACTTTCTTTAATAAAAAAGCTGGCTTTTCGCTCAACTGTTGCATTGCTTTTGGTGGTAAAATTTCATTAGTAATATTTCTCAGCACTGGCATATTTGTGTGGGTGCTCATGGGTTCACAATCATAACAACTAATTACTTCACAGGCATTCCTGGAAGGCTCTTTCTGATGACCAAGTTGTTCAGGTACAGATATAAGGTTCTGATTTAACAAACATTCACTCTTGCCAGCTGCATTGTCGGGAGGCTCCTCTTCATCTTCACTATTGTCACTGCTTTGTATGAGTCCATATCTCTTCATATATTTTTTGGTTGCAAATGACATGTTGTTTGGTGAAATTAAACTGAGCCCCACTGTGCTTCTGTCTGTATTAATATGTAGAAGGCTGAAAGATGAGTCACAGTTATTTTGGTTTGATCGAGTGACAGATAGCTGTGACAGTTGATTTTCATTTAAATACTTCAGAGCTATAGCATTTGCCTCCATGCTCAAATCCACGCCGCTGGGGCTTAAGCCACTCATGCCAACATTAGCAAATGACATGTAGTTTAATCCATTGATCACTGCTTCTGGACTGATGCATGCCAACACACTGAAAGACACAAGTTATAAGCCATCATTTACCTTATTGTGAGTACTAAATAGTGTCATTCTAAATGTGTTCCATTTACAAAAGTAACAAAAAGTCTTCAGCTTTAAGTTCATGGTGCTTTTGATCTACGTTCTCAGACATCTAAGTCTCGATGATCCAGATACGCATTCAAGGGATAAATATGATAGCCTAGAAAGTAATCCATGATTCACAGACTGAAAGTGGAAAGCAAAGTAATTTTCCTAAATTTGTACATCAGTCATGGTTTTAAGACCAAATACAAGGCCCCAAATGTAAGAGTCAATCAACATTGCTGTGAGTCATTTAACTTAACCCCAAACAGTGCAAGAGATCAGCTAATGTTCAATGTTAAGTAAAACATACAAATTAAGTCAAACACAGAAAATATTTGATGATATAACAGTACGAGCTTTGGTAAGTGGCTCAGAAAATCAAATTGCACATAGTTAAAGAGATTCTGGTTGGGCATGGTGGCTCGTGTCTGTAATCCCAGCACTGTGGGAGGCCGAAGTGGAGAATCGGTTGAGCCCAGGAATTCAAGCCTAGCCTGGACAACATAGCAAGACCTCGTCTCTACCACAAAAAAAAAAAAAAAAATGCTGAGCATGGTAGTGTGTGTATGTAGTCCCAGCTACTCAGGAGGTTTATCCTTCATCATGCCAGTGCACTCCAGCCTGGGCCACAGAGTGAGACCTGGACTCAATAAAATAAAATAAAATAAAATTCTATTTGCAGTGAATAAAAAACATCAAATGGTTTCTGGATATGGGCTTATATATATACACACAAACTTTTTCATTAGATATAATCTTCACTCACTTTGGTTAGTGTTAACTGATTTTCCTTTTCTATGATATCGCACATACTTTCATAATAGTTGCTAATTGACCTTAAGGTCACATATATGCCAAGCACTCTGCTAAATGCTTTACATGCATTATTCTCATACATTCCTCACAGTAATCTTTCTCAAAGAATTCCCTATCTAATATTTCTTTTTTTTTTTTGAGTTGGGGCCTCACTCTGTCACCCAGGCTGAAGTACAGTGGCATGATGACAACGATCACAACTCATGAAAGCCTCAACCTCCGGGGCTAAGACGATCCTTCCGCTTCAGCATCCTGAGTAACTAGGACTACAGGCATGTCCAGCTATTTAAAAAAAATTTTTTTTTGTAGAGATGAGGTTTTGCTATGTTGCCCAGGCTAGGCTTGGATTATAGGTGTAAGCCACCGTGCCCAGCTCTTTATCTAATATTTAAACCATATTCTCCAACTCAACACTTACATTCCTTTCCCTACTTTTCTGTTTTCTCCTTAGCACCTATTGCTATTTATGTATCCATCACACAATTCTTATTGATTTTCTAGTTCTCTCATGAAAGCCAATGAGGAGAGAGTCTTTTGTCTGCTTTTTTCCCCATTGCATGATTCTCAGTGCCTGGAACGTAGTAGACAGTAAATAAAATTTACTGAAAGAATAAAAGAAGTAGGTACTATTATCTTTATTTCCGTTGCAATAGAGATTTTTAAAATTTTTTTTTATTTTTTTTTTGAGATGGAGTCTCACTCTGTCGCCCAGACTGGAGTGCAGTGGCTGCTCCTGGCCACCGCAGCCTCAACCTGCTGGGCTCCGGTGATCCTTCCGCCTCAGCCTTCCAAGTAGCTGGGACTACAGGCGCGTGCTACCACGCCCGGCTAATTTTTGATTTTTTGTGGAGATGAGGTCTCGCCAAGTTGCCCAGGCGGGTCTCGAACCCGCAGGCTCAGGCAATCCACTCACCTCAGCCTCCCAAAGGCGCGGGATTACAGGCTGAGCCACCAAGCCCGGCTTGCAATAGAGATTTTTAACTAATTTCCCCAGGGTTGAATAGCTAGTAAGTGGCAAGCCGAGGCTGAATCCATGTCTGCCTTACTCTCTGGGCTCTATAACTGCTGTTTCACTATACTGTATCCAGCGACTGATGTCTTGCTGAGAGTTCTTTGTGCACTATTAATTGTGGTGAGTATTGTATTCTAGAAGTCAAAGAATAGCTATGGCTTTCTGTATTATCCTATCATAATGTTTTACATGTGCCAGCCACTGCCTGCATTTATAGTCCCACAATATCAAGTATGTATCACATTCTCATTCTTATAAGCACCTGGAACTGAGAAGAAGTTATTTCCAACCATTAATATTCCTTGAAACCAGTGATGGCATCACCAAACAATGAAACAATGTGCTCCATGATGCTTTCTTTAGAACTACCCTGGGATTTTTCTTTAACCTTCTTGGTAATTAATGCTTTGAAGACTATTTGAAAAAGATGGAAGAGATACTATCAATTCATCTAGATATTATTCTTTTATTCACAGTGATAATACCCTTTGAATGTATAGTCATTTTCTACTTTGCTTATTTCCTCAGAATAAGCAATTTGCATATTATATCAGAAAAGATTACATATTAAAATATACATAAGTATGTCTATAGATAATATTAATGCAAATTATTTGATAAAAGCAAACAAAAACTTCTAGTTCAAAAAGCTAAATATTTAGAGAAAGTAGGCCTAATTTTCTTTTTTTTTTTTTTTTTTTTGAGTTGGAGTCTCACTGTCACCCAAACTGGAGTGCAGTGGCCGCTCCCGGCCACCGCAGCCTCGACCTGCTGGGCTCCAGCGATCCTTCCGTCTCAGCCTTCCGAGTAGCCAGAATTACAGGCGTGCGCTACCACGCCCGGTTGGTTTTTTGATTTATTGTAGAGGTGAGGTCTCGCTGCCCAGGCGGGTGTCGAAGCCGCGGGCTCAGGCAATCCACTCACCTCAGCCTCCCAAAGGCGCAGGATTACGGGTTGAGCCACCGAGCCCAGCAGCCTAATTTTCATTAGACCTTTTATAGAATGGTTAAAAGATCCATGAAGAAGTCAGTATCAGTTTACAAGGTAGCTAACATAGCTAGCCAATTTCAATTTGAAGGGTGATGGGATACCATTATTTTGATAGCAAAATAAATCAAGCTGGGCATAGTATCACACACATGCCTGCAGTCCCAGCTACTTGGGAGGATGAAGCAGGAGGATCACTTGAGCCCAGGAGTTTGAGGCCAGCCCAGGTAAAATAGAGACATCTTTTAAAAAACAAACAAAAAATCCAAATCGATAACACTCAAAACCAAAGCATATAAACACCAGGGTAATTAAGAAGAAGAGCAAAACGAGGCCACTCCACCAATCAAATTCTAAAAGTCTTGAGCACAAATATACTATGTTAGAAACTCACTAGATGTGCAATCATAAAAAGATGATGAAAGTCCTTGAATATATTTGAATAAGAGTTATACGTTAACAATTTTTTTTTTTTTGAGTTGGAGTCTCACTCTGTCGCCCAGACTGGAGTGCAATGGCCGCTCCCGGCCACCGCAGTCTCAAACTGCTGGGCTCCGGCGATCCTTCCGCCTCAGCCTTCCAAGCAGCTGGAACTACAGGCAGGCGCTACCACACCCGGCTAATTTTTGATTTACTGTAGAGATGAGGTCTCGCCAAGTTGCCCAGGTGGGTCTCGAACCCACGGGCTCAGGCAATCCACTCACCTCAGCCTCCCAAAGGCGCGGGATTACAGGCTGAGCCACTGAGCCCGGCTATATGTTAACAATTTAAGGGAAGTTCTTTAAAAAAATTACTCCAACTTACTTAAAGATGAAAATCAACCTTGATTTATTATCCTGTTTGAATCCAGATTAGTTATCTCCTATTTATCCTGTACAGAGTTTCTCAACTAACAAGCAGGGAGCCAGGAAGCAAGCTTAAAAAAAGCGACCAGACACTGTCTGAGATGTATTTTGAATTCAAAAGGTCACTCCAAGTGGAAACCTGCCAGTAGAGGTTGCTGCCAGACCTCAGACCCACAATTCCCATTTCCTGAACAATTTCTAGGTATGCTTGGTTCTCTTTTTCCTGCCTGCCTCTGGACCCTCTTAATCTCTGCAGTGTTCTGGAACAGAAATGTAAAAAAGGAAATCTTCCTTCCCCTGCCTCAGCCACCCTTCTGGTGAGAGGATGGACTCCAGGAGTCCAGAATTAGAACACAAAATGAGTTTTCACAGACACACAATGATAAAAGATAGCTGGTTTAGAGAACTAGAGGAACGGTATTATAAGGACTTATTTCCTGGAATCCCTAACCTATAATTTGTAACTGTTTCTGTAGGAAAATGTCTCTTGCATTCTAAACAGCTGCCTTCTAAACTCCTGGCATACCAGTTATACTTATATATGTTAAAAAGATAACAATACAAGGTCTTAAATACTGACAGTAAATACTACAGAGATACTAAAAATGAACATTCTTGTAGGCTTCAGTGATAACCTGAGTATGAGTAATTTCATTCATTCAACAATAGACTCACTGAATTCAGGCCCACCAAAGGTGATAGAAGCAATAAGGATTCAGAACTTTATAAAACTTATGGTCTTGGTGAAAAGGCTGTCGCAAGCACATGCTACAATCTGTTAGAAACAAGGTATTTTAAGAGTACAAAACATCAATATTTTCTGAGAGGTCCAGGAAACCTTGATAGAGGAGGTGACATGAGTCCAGTTCTGAAGGATAAGGAGGATTTTGGCAAGCAAAAAAGGAAAAAGACCAACCCAGAAACAAGTAACACCAAGGAACCTTGCAAATGCCAATGATGAATAAGCCAGAACTCAGTAGGAAATGGGAGGAGATTAGACTAAAAAATGAAGTTTAAGACAATGTGAATTAATCAGGTATGCTTCAAATACGCTAGGAGGACATTCCAGATATAAGACTGAGATAAGTGATATGAAAATCTGACCTCTATGTTGGAGAAATAGTGTCAGTACAATCTCATTTTAAATCAAAATAACATAAAACACTTTAATAACCAATAAATATAAATTTAAAATTTTAAGGGTCAGGTGTGGTGGCTTATGTAATTCCAGCTAAGAGTTTGAGACTAACCTGGGACAACACAGTGAGACCCTGTCTCTATCAAAACAACAACAACAATAGCAACAAAATTAAGATATTTGGTCTGAATTAGCTCAGAACTTTAAAGAGGGTAATTAAGAGATCTGAAAATTAAGTTCATTAACTCATCCTAGAAAAAGTACTATATACCTCATTGCTGAATAACACTACGGTCACCATCAAAGTACTCCCCTTGGGAAGCTATGTACCGACACCAGTGCTTAATACACTCGTCAAAGCAGATTTAGAACTCTTTTTCTGAAAGGGCCATCAGAGCTACTGCAAGAATGACAGAGTTTGAATTAAAGCACGAATAAAGATTAAATTTCTTGTTAAACTTGGTAAGAGTGAAAATGAAATCAGGGACATGCTAGTCCAAGTTTATGGGGATAATGCCATGAAGAAAATGGTGGTGTACAAATGGATTCAATGTTTTTCTGAGGGGACAGAAAGCATCACGGAAAAAGAGAGATTAGGATTGCCAATTATGAGCAAAACTGACAAAGACTGCAAAAATCCATCAAACTGTGCATCAAAATCGTTGGCTGACTGAGAAGCATAGCAGACCAAATAAACATTGGTAGAGATACAGGAAAATCTTAACTGAAAATCTTGGCATGAAAAGGCATGTGTAAAAATGATCCCAAAGGGGCTCCTGCATCACGACAATGCACCAGCTCGCACAGCACTGTCTATGAGGGAGTTTTTAGCCAGTAAACAAATAACTGTATTGGAACACCCTTCTACTCACCTGATCTGCCCCCAGTGACATTTTTCTTTACCCAAAGATAAAGAAAATATTGAAGGAAGACATTCTGATGACAGTCAGAACATCAAGGTAATACAATGACAGCTCTGATGGCCATTCCAGAAAGAGTTCCAAAATTGCTTTGACAGGTAGACTAGGCACTGGTATTGATTGGTGCATAGCTTCATGAGGGGAGTACGTTGAAAGTGACCATAGTGAATACCAGCAGTATTCAGCAATAAGGTATGTAGCACTTTTTCTAGGACAAGTCCATGAACTTGATTGTCAGCCCTTGTATAACATAGTATGAAAACACTGTTCATGTTAGCTACCTTTCCATGTGCTTCCATAGCATTCTACATCCCTCCATTTCATAGCAGGCATCAGAATATATAATAATTGACTATCTGTGTGTCTTCCCCCTGAACTGTAAGCTCTATAAGAACAGTGATGTCTTTATCAGGTTATCTTATGTACCATGATGTCTCTAGTTGGCTCACAGTAGGAGCTCTCTATATATTTATTGAAGTAAAAGTAAAAATACTGGTGAAATAGTAATACATGTAGCTGGTAAGAATGTAAAACTTTACTCTTTCAGAAAGAAACTTAGCAATAGCTTTAAAGTTTTTGTACCATTTTGACTTTGTCTTTCCATTTCCAAGACTCTAAGAAAATACTGCTAAAACTGAAAAATACAGTATTTGCAAAAAGATGTTCACGAGCAACATTTAAAATAGTAAGAAACTGCAATCAACCTGACACGTTAGTTCTCAGTTCTGATGAGAGGGGAAGGGTTAGGTTATATAGCCTCTATCTCACAGCATGGAAATAAAACCTTAAAAATTCTATCCTCACTCTCCTCCTACACTACTGGTAGAAATGTAAACTAGTAGAACTATTTAGTGAGCAATAATAATATCTACCAAACTTTAAATGCATATACCATTTGATCCTCTTCCTAGAAATCTATCCTACAAAGAAACTTGCAAAAGTACCTGCAGAATGATGTTCACTTATCATTGTCTGAAATGACAAATACGGGTTGCCCTAAAAGTCCATTAATAGAGCACTGGGGTTCAATATAGTATAGTACAAGGGTACAAAAGAATATGATGCAGTTGTTTAAATGCACGAGAAAGAACTCTTTATACCTACCTATAGGGAAAGGTATCCAAGCTCTTACAATGTTAAGTAAAATTTTAAAATCACAAGACTTATCACACACATGAATACTTGAACATTCACAGAACATTTCTAGAATACAAAAGAAATAGTTGAGAGAAGTAATTTTGGAGGAATCAGACTGAGGAGTTTGGGGAATGGGTCTTTTGCGTTTTATGTTATGCTCCTCTGTATTATTTTATTGTTTTCTAAGCCATCAGATTTTATTACTTTTGTAACTAGAAAATAACAAAAAACAATTAACAGAAAACATGCTATCCTAAATAACATTATTTGCAGACTTTATTCCTCTTTTTAATAAGTATGGGCTTATTCACAATAACAAAAACATGGACTCAAACATGTTGCCCATCGAAAATGGACTGGGTTAAAAAAAACAAACATGGTACATACACACAATGGAATATTATGCAGTCATAAAGAAAGATAAAATTATGGACTTCACGGCAACTTGGAAGGATTTAGAGTCTATTATACTCAGTGATCTATCATGGAAAACAAAGAACTGAGTACCACATGTTCTCACTCCTAAGTGAACCCTGAGCATTTATCATAATACTACAT